GAATCTATAAATATTTAGTCTAAAACCCCTAATGTGTAAATAATAATTCTGTAAATATATTTAATAATAAAGAGCGCCACACACGCCCCATGGTGCTTCACCTGGGATAGTTAAAAAAAAAAAAAATACAGAGAGTTGAAGAACAAAATGACATAATTAAAAATTTAGTTAATAGAGATATTTTTTTAATTAAACTTGTAAAGTATATTAATAAGCAGATTAACCATATGTTTACTTTTGTTTAATATAAAAGTTGGGTTTATTCTATTATAGAATTTATACTTATTCATGCTAGCTTTAAATTTTTACTAGATATTGACAAATAAATTATCTCATATTTGATGCCAACTTCTTCATTTATCTAATATCAAGAGATTGCCCAAGCTATATAATATACAGCACAACTTATTAATTTTCAAGACTTGGAATTTAATTTGATTGAATAATTTGATCAGATTGAACAATTTAGTTTGATTGGAAAATCTAACTTGACAGAACAATCAAATACTATTGAGACTTGTAATGCTATTACTGAAGATATATTAGATGCACTTGCTATCTTAGTTAAAGAATTAGTATTATTTCAGAAATTGAATCCATTTTTGAAGTTTGAAAAGTTATATGACATAGACACAAAACAAAAAATTATGTTATATTGTTTAAAAATAATTTGCATCTATGCATATGTCTTAATTTAATTTAATGTAGTTTTGTCTGCAGACACTTTTTTCAAATTTTGAAAGTGTTTAATTATGCAACATCACATATTATACTTATATTAAGAAAATAATACATTGACAAAAAACAAATTGAATCAGAATAAGAAACACAGTTAAATCTTTTTATTATTGGTTTGAGTAATAATATAAACTTGAAAACTTTTGTTAATATTAAACAAGTCTTTCCTGATTTATTATTTTGTTTACCAAACATCTTTTTTCATAAAGCTTATATTAAAGTTAGTTATTGTAAAACATATATAACTATACATGAATTGTCAAAAAAAGTAATTTAAACTGGATTTGATACTGGTTCTAATATGATCAAAGAGCTTAAAGACTTTATTAATAGCTTTATTACTAAATCTGCATCTAAAAAATAAAATAAAAAGAATCAAAGACATGATAATAAGAGTAATACTATTTTAAATTATAGTTCTAGTAATGAAAACTTTATTTTAGTTAAAAATCTAATAATTCATTCAAAAAAGAATGCTCCAAAGAAAAAACATTTAAAAGGTTCACATGAATTAGAGAACAAAAATAATTTTAGTATTAGGTATTTACAAATACAGAAAACTAGAAAACAAGTACAATATTAATAATGTCAAAATATTGGATATAACAAAGCTGGTTGTGAGACATAGCATAAACAGCAAGATATTACATATTTATATTAACTAATAATACAAATTTATTATACTTTAATTAAATTTGCATAGTACATATAGTAAAACACAATATATATATTTATATTTAAGGGAATCAAAAAAACTCTTTCTGCAAATCTATTATATAAAAATTAACTAAAAAAGTCATTTGTCTAAAAACACTTATAACTATTTATTTTACTAAGACAACCTGTTTTGAGCTCTAAATAAACTTGTATAACTTATTATTTTATATATATTCTGCAAATATTAAGCTTCTATATTTTAAACTTATCAAGAAAACTGTACTGACAGCTTTTAGCCTCCAGTTGATAACTTTTAATTATCTCACAGTTTTTAGTACCTTAACCTGTTCTATACTCTTAATTAAAGTTGTAGTATGCAGTCACTCAGTTAAAATAAGTTCTAAACAAAAAATTTTAATCTAATATTAGTTAAACTACAACCAAATTCAATATTTACTCTCTTGCAAAACTTTTTTTTCTACTTTTTGTTCTTATTCTATTTCCTTTTTCTCTTACACACTTTTTGTGTAACTATATAATCATTTCCAAATCCATCTCATTAATTTACACCAACTTCTGTAACCAACCTATTTATAGATATTTATTCAATACAATCTATTATTACTATATTTAGTTTATACTTATATTACACAGTAATTTGTATTACAAATTACAGTTATTTTCAGTACCCAAGTCATAGTAGTGACTCTAACCATTCTAGTTACACTCTAGTACTACTCTAGTAATACCTCCATAATACTACCCTTATTTTTATCTACAACTCTTACAAAATTAATATTTATAATTATATTTATTATTTAAAAAAATTCTCTAAGTCTTAATTTTTTTTTTTTTTTTTCTTATTTAATTTCAAAAGCCTAATATTACAGACCTTGATTACTTCTACTAAAACTTTTTTAACAGTTTTGAAATTACTCTTTATGAAGAAGAACATGACAACAAGGCTCATCCAATTCCTCCTAAAATCCAACCAACTTCTTGTTTAACAAAAAATCTTAGATTACACAAGATTATATATTTTTTTTAAGCTCCTTCTTTTACCTTTGTGATTACTTACCTTTGTGACAAATATTACACTAAATTTATCTTATCTACCAATACCAATCACATTCAAGCTACTGATTTTACTATCACTTATATCAATAGCAACTTCAAAAAACTCAACAAAACAAGCCAAGATCTTATATCTAACATCTCTTCTTCTATTAACAGTGTTTCCCTATTTCCTACATCTGATGTACCTACCATACCTGTTCAAAATGCTCTGTTCCAATTGGTTGTACCAAGAGAATAAGCATTACTACGCTATCAAAAAATATGTTACTAAAAACAACAAAGTCTATTATTTTACCTATATGACTGCCACATCTCAGCATGAAGCTAGTTCATTTCAAACTAAGAAAAATCTTATTCAAACTTTTTAAAACATCTTATTAGAATCTAATCAAATCACTAATTCCAATACTAACTTCTTAAATCAAACTTTGTTTATCATTCCTAATCTTATTAATTTTTTCTTTGCTACAACTACTTATACTAATCCTATTTCTAACTAACCTTCTATTATTAACATCTCTGATAACCCTAACTTAATCTTAATAACTTTAACAATACTAATTAATCTGACAGCACCTCTAACAAACCTCTTCTCCAAACTTACTCAAGTGTGCTCAAACCAAAATCCAACTCTACATACAACTGGCTTGCAAATTTTTCAATTACTAAAGAAATGCAATCCAATAAAAAATTACAAACCTCATTCTCTTTTCAACTCTTTATTTTTCTCAAAAAATTTCTTTATGACTTTTATCTGAATAAAGAAATTAAACCAGCTACTTCTACTTAATCTGTACTCAAAACCTTATTTTATTATATTATTCACATTATGACTGGACAATAACCAAAATTCTTAACTGATCTCATTTACAGTAGTAATTCCAATATTAACAAAAGTGTTATTATTTTATTTAATTTACTTGAATCTACTCTTAAAAACTTTTTGCTTAAATTTACAATTGTTCTTTTTACAAAACTTAACTATCTTGAAATCTTTGCCTTACTAGTTACTATTTCTTTATATACTGCCTACAATCATTTTCAACTTTGCCTTAATCTTGCATGACTCTATCTTTTTTTATCTAATAATTATCAATTAATTGATTACTAAAAATTTGCTAAAGATTTAAAGCTTAGACTAAAAAGATTCAAAATTAAATTTTTTACTCAAACTACTGATCTTAACCAAAAATACTTTACTATTTAATTAGATGCTAGATTCAATATCAAACTCTTTTTCAATATTCCAAAAACACTATTTCTTAAAAGATTCTGTATTCCCTCTCTAAAAAACTCTCTTGATTACTTTAATTCTTGGTTTGAAACCTACTGCTCTTCTTATAGTTGACAATTTTCTTTTACTATTGACAAAGAAAAAGTCAAAACTTCTCTCTGAATTTAATTTTGTCAGCAATTTATTCTTCAACTCTCCAAGCATCTTCTTGAATCTTATATATTCCAAAAACCAAATTCACTTCATAAGCGATGTGAGGGAACATCTAATATTACAAATTTTTATTGGCTCACTTGTGACAACAAATCATGTCAATATCTTAATGATAAAAAAATTTATAACAGTACTAAACTCTTTAATTATATACTAAGCAAATCTCACTTATCCTTTCTATCCAAAGAGGATAAAACATAGATTTATTATACTTTCAATACTATACTATTTTACAAAAACAAAAAACATGCTGTCTCACTCAACCAACCTATTCTTACCAAAGCCTTGAACAAATTGGCTAATCAAGCTGAAGACTTTGTTTGCAAACAAAACAAAGTTAAAACAAATTCTAAATATCATAATTACTATTTTTACTACTATCTTTCACTATATTACTAAACTGTAACAGAAAATCATAACATACAGTCTTTTTTCAAAGAGAAGGCAATTAACTTATTAACAAAAAACATTATTGATACTAAATTCTTTGGCCAAATCATTACCTACTTTAATGTTATCAAAAATCAAAAATCTACTTACTTACAAATTGTCAAATATTTCAATAACACTACCTATTTAGTAGCTGAGAAGTTTTTATCAAAAAAATTTAATCTTGACTTTCAACCAGTTTTCATCTTTGACTCATTCTTCTTACAATCTTCTTTTTAAGTTTTTTGTCTTCTACAACTAATATTGAAGTAGCCATCACCTTATTAAAAGAAACAATCACTATAGTTAATAAGAAAAATGAAATAAGTAGGCAGGTAAACAAGCCTATTTATGTAAAAGGCCAGGATAATGATAGTTAGACCCAACATACAGGGCAGACTATGGTACCTTGCACAGCTGTAAAAGCCAGACATACAGTGATTGACTCTGTAGAAGACAATTTTGAAAGATCATTTACAACATCTTTAATTCTCTATAATTTTTATACATATTTTAACAAATTTCTTTTTCATTACAACTTACTACTTCTTTCTTTTGATCAAATTATTCAAACTTTAATTCAATATATTGATAAATATATTAATAACAAAATAGTATTTTGTATTACATTTTCTGTTAATTCATTCTACAATAAAACTCATATATATCTTCCTAATGACTCTCTTTTACTGGATCATATTGTTATTACTACATATCTTCTTCTTATATTCTATAATATTTCTCTCAAATCTAACCTCTTTAATCCTACTTCTATTTTATTTGATTTATTTTTTGACAACTATTTCTCAATTTCTAATTATAATTCTCTCTCATCATCATCAAATTCAACTCTATATCATTTTAACCTAATTATTGCTACACATAATGTCAGAGGCTTTAATGAACCTACTAAGAAAGAACATGATAGAATTATTGTCTCAATCATGACATATCTATTGCAAGCATTATAAAAACAAAAATCTCTAACAAATCTAATCTCTTTTTTTGCAACAATAACTTTTTTACTTATTATTGGTCTAGCTCTTCTATCTTTATGAAAAGCACTGCTATTATAATTCACAATTATTTTAAACTCCATGTTAATAGTATTTACATTTATCTTAAAAGTGCTATAGCACTTAATATTTTCTTTAGAAGTAATATCAAGCTTCACATTATTTTAGTATAACTGTCATCAACTGATACTTCTATTTGCAACCAAACCCA